TCCACTGCCCACGCTGTTGGTTCCGGAAACCGGGAGCAAAACGTCGGAAGCTGAGTGTTCGAGCTCGTCGCAAACAGATCTAGATTGGGACGCCCGAACGTGTTGAAAATATGCTGGGCCACGACCGGACACAGCCTCCACTCCGTCGGACGACATAATTAATGTCGAAATATTGAATCCCAACACGATGGCGTGTATTTCAATACTTGGAGTATGTATTATACTTTCCTATTTGGTATCATTAACAGCTTTTCCAATAATAGGAAATGGTTGATTCAAAACTTTAAAAAAAAAAACTTGCATTCAGAAATGTAAAGAAACCAAGCAAAACGTTAAAATGAAAATTAGTAAACTCACAACAAAGGATATATATGTAAAAGTTATAAAGAATCACTGTTCCAGTCAGTCAACGTTATTATGAACAATCCTTTGAAATCTCAAATGATATACAATGGAATAAGATATGGTCTCTACTCTTCAATGTTAGAGTTGAAGAAACACTGCGATATTTCCAGTATAAAATACTACATAGAATTATTACATGTAGCATTCCTAAAATGAGTTAATATAATTGATGACGACAAATGCCATGTCAAAATGTAGAAACTATTAATCATATGTTTGGTATTGTCCAGATGTGACATGATTCTGGAATAGTGTTGAGGGATGGATTGGATAGATTAAAAATTCCAATACAAATTAATTGCAACAGGGTCTTTCTTGGATTTACCGACCAAGATTAATTGCTAAATTACATTATGTACTAGATTTATCCATGCTAAAAAAAATACATAAAATAAGAAAAGAGTTATTATGTTTATTAAAAAGAATGAAATAAATGATTATTTCAAAAAATGGAAAGGGATAAATTTGAAATTCAGTAATAAGTTTGGCTTCAATCATCATTAATGTTCTTGGTCTTTTAAGTTATACTGAAGTATATTTTTTGTGTTAGAAAGTTTATAAAGTTATTAGGTTCTGTCATTTTTACTTGGTAATGTTTATTTCAATCCTATGTAATGCTGTGCTTTACGTCTAATAAACTGAATAAAAATTAAAAATTAAAAAATACTGTTTACTGCCCAATTCACTAACAGAAGAACCCTCACTGTTGGAAACATGTCTTTGGATTACGTATTATCACAACAAATTCTTGGAATTAAACCATTAATTTATTTCAACCATTAAATCCATGTACAGTAGAACTCCTCATTTACGAACCCCGAATTTGTGCAGGGCCTAGAGTGGGATCAGAATGCTTAGAAGCTGCCAACTGTAGGCCTAGCCTAGGCCTAGTTTATGCCAGTGTAAATCAGTGCAAATATATAGGAATTTGGGTCAACCCCGATTTTACGAATACCCGAATTTACGAACGGCTCTGGGCCCGTGCCATACGTAAATGAGGGGTTCTACTGTAGTCCTACTGAACACGAATTTTCCCTGTTTATACATCCAGATGAAACTATTTGAGCTTAAAATCTGTCACTTTTACATAATTGTATCAATCGTAATCATCCAGTGCTAGTCATATAAATGTCCTGTGAAAAGCACTCACCAGTGACCGAGAGGAAGAGCATAACAACAGACCAGTATGCAAAAAATAGGAGCAAAGCGATGAATGTCCACAAAGGCTGAATCAGGAGTAGAGGCATGGCAACGAGTCCCTTACCAGCCTGGTCCAATAGCTCCACAGCAAATGCAACACGCTTGCGCATTACGAGAATAATGAGCAAGAGAACCACCTAAGAGATACAAAACATATTGAGTACTGTATATATTCAATGTTGTTTTATTTTTTGATGACCTAAAACTGACAGAAAATAAAACTCAGGATATTCAGTACTTTTATGACTAGTTTATTTGACAGTACACACATTTTTCAGGTGAATGTCAGTCCCGGATTAAGCATCGTCTGGCCTCAAGGCACATTTTGGAAATGGCCCAAAAGTGTTAATTGAATGGACCCCATGGTAATAATACTCTGCCACAACTCTAACAGTAGAATGTCTCCGAGTTTCCTGGCCTAATAATGGCGGAAAATAGAGTGTAAATAATATTGCAGTCCAACTTTTGATGGCCCATCATTTTCGCCTGGCCCACAAGGCTTGTGCCTTATTTGCCTAATGGTTAATCCGGCACTGGTGAATGTGAAGTTTCACATTCACCTGAAGAAGTGCACTGTGTGCACGAAAGCTTGTGTACTGTCAAATAAACTAGTCATAAAAGTACTGAATATCCTGAGTTTTATTTTCTATTATATATCAGACTAGTACGGCTCATCTATTTTTTATTTAACTAAAACTGACAGTTTCAATGGTGATCCACCAGCACTTTCAAGTGTACTCCTGAAACATCATACAAGTAAAAGGTTTCACAAATTTTTGGATCATCAAAAAAGAATTAACATTGAATATACAGTATTACATAGTGGATCCAGATGAATTTTTTCAATGATATTAAGTATAAGTTTTCCAAAGGGAAATATATATATATATATATATATATAGTAATAAAACGCATAAAGCAAAAGTGTAGAGTAGCCGTAACTTTTAATAGTAAACTTATACTTAATATCATTGAAAAAATTCATCTGGATCCACTATGTAATACTGTATATTCAATGTTATTTTATCTTCATATTCTTAATGCTGTCTCTTATACACATCTAGATGTGTATAAGAGACAGGAGACCTTCCTATATCTGAGTTTCAAAACAAACTCAAGATTATTGCCAAGGATTGCCTTAAGCTTTCCAAGGAACTTTCCCTAGGGAGACAAATTTGGTCGAGACAATATCACTTCAACACAAGTGATCCAACCTTCGCACAATGTTTGGCTTTCACGTAAACCTAGCAGGTTCATTCGGCGCTTTAGTGATAATCCGTGCAACACCACGGATTCAGTTGTTCAAATTAACTGTCAGCTTTCCGAAGGAGAAACCAAACTTCTATCCCGAGGACTCAAATTTTGCTCAAAACCGAGGCAGGCTGACCCACAACAACTATCTTTGGATCTGGAAGCTTTCTTCCGACGTTTAAGATGCCGTGAATATTTCACCGATTCCGACGGCAACACCACGGATAACACGGGCAATGTTACCAAATTCAAACCTAAAAGTACCTGGAATCCCCCTAAGAATTGTTGCCCAGCTTTAGAAACATTAATTCAGGCCATTGAGGAGGACGTTAAAAACCACACTCCTAGTCCAGATTTCCGCGACAATCTCACAAAAAATGAGAGGCAGGCCATCGCCAATTTGCGTCAGCGTAATGATATTATCATCAAACCAGCTGATAAAGGCTCTGCCACTGTCGTAATGGACATTATATTCTATGAAGAGGAGTCCTTAAGACAACTAAACAATCCTCTTCACTATCGGAAGCTCACAGAGGACCCTCTCCGGAAATTTCTAAGGAAGTGGAAAAATCTGTATTAAAGATGGTTAAAAAAGGTTCCATCGATCCCAAAATTGGACCCCATCTCATCCAGGTCGATCCGGCACCAGGACGTTTCTATGTCCTACCCAAAATCCACAAAGCAGGCCATCCTGGCAGACCCATTATTTTGGGCAACAGTACTGCTACAGAAAAAACCTCTGAATATGTGGATGATTTATAAGACACCATATGTTGTTGCTCTCCCCTCGTACATTCAGGACTCCACGGACTTTATCCGCAAAATTAACCAAATTTCAAATTTACCTAATAATACTGTTCTGGCTACGCTTGATGTTTCGTCATTATATACTAATATCCCTCATGAAGAAGGTGTTAATGCATGCATTTCAAATTACAAGCAAATTCGGGGCAAATCCCCATCTAAATCACATCTCCATGAACTTATCATGCTGATTCTGACCAATAATAACTTTGTTTTCGGCGACAGTCATTACCTTCAAATTCATGGCGCAGCGATGGGCACCAAAATGGCTCCATCTTTTGCTAACTTATTTATGGGACAATTTGAGGCCAATTTCCTGTCCCTACAGCCCAAGAAACCAGATGTTTGGTTTCGTTACATTGATGATATCTTCATGATCTGGACCCATGGTGAAGATAATTTGGATACGTTCCTATTGAACATTAATTCGGCTCATCCCACAATCAAATTCACTGCCAACAAATCCACAAGCAGTGTAGATTTTTTGGACATCACTGTGACCATGGAAAATGGTGCACTTAAAACTGATCTCTTCCATAAACCCACGGATAAGCATATGTACCTGCTTCCTAGCAGCTGTCACCCCTCGCACTGTACAAAAAACATTCCGTACAGCCAAGGATTGCACATGAGACGCATTTGTTCTTCGGATTTAGATTTTCAGAATCGAACAGAAGAACTATCCGGACATCTCCGGAATAGAAATTATCATTGAGGACCCATTGAAAATGCTATAAGTTGTAAAAAAAGCAAAGGACATACCTCGTGCTCAAACACTGACGTACAAACCACGTCAACGATCGACCACTGGTCACTACCTATCACCCTAGGTTACCACCACTAAGGGCTATAATTCAGAAACATATGCCCATTCTACAGACCACAGAACGTCTTAGGTCTGTTTTTCCGGATACACCGTTAATAGCCTATCACAGACCACCTAACATTTGTGATATATTAGTACGATCTAAATTCAAGAGGCAAACTAACTCTTGCGACAACCATAATTTGGGTATTCCTCTTTGTGGTTCATCATGCAAAACATGCTCCTTGCTTGATTCTACACAATCATTCTCATATATTGTAATATTTGTGGTAAACAATATGTCGGAGAAACCAAAAACACTCTCCGTATGAGAATGACACAACATAGATCAGCTATCAGAGCATCTAAGCTTGATCAACCAGTAGCCGAACATTTCAATTTGGCTGGTCATTCAATTTCAAATTTCAGAGTGATTGCAATTGACCATAATGCCAGTTGGAGCGACAAAAATCGCAAAGATAAAGAGAATCACTGGGAACTTTTACTTAAAACAACCACACAAATTTGGACTCAATATTAGGAACGTTCTCCCAGTACACAATTTATTCTGGATTAATCATTTGGCTTATTTATTGATGCTTGCCTATAAAGTTTAGTTTTGGCCTTCCTGCTTACTTGTTTAGGCTGTTTATTCTAATCTCACCCAGCCTATTGTTTCCAATCATGCTTGCATGAAATTCTCACTTTATACCATCTAGCTTTTTCTACCCTCACTCACTCGCCACTGAGGAAGGTGGAAAGAAAGTCCAAAATACATGCATTTCAAGCTTTAATAAATCTGAAGATTTAACCATGGATTTCAGGCCAGTGACATGAGTGATGGTAGGCAATAAATCCTAGAAAATCAAAACATTCTCTGAGTTCTGATTGAAAATTACACTGAAATTGGGCAACACAAAAAAACATGGCCTTACTCAGTTACCAACCAAAGCATCTAAGCATAGGTTCTAGGTTTAATACCTGCAAGTAAGAGGATGGTCCTGAAGTAGTTTTTGTATAATTAGCAGTTGATTGACTGTCTGATGGAAAAATAAAGAAAACTCACAAAAAACACAGTGGAGACAATTGAATAGATGAGAAATGCTGTGACATCACTTTCGATTGATTCTGGTACCACATCTCCATATTTTTCCATTTCCTTTTTCCTTTCTGTGTATGTATACCACAGGAGGCCAGTAACAGCTACAAAATATAATAGATTATACAACATTTATCTTTACTTTATTGCAATTCAGAATTACTTAATTGTTTCACTAACATGCTACTGTATTTTACTGTACTGAATCTTTATGGACATTATCAACAAATTTGAGGCCAGGAGAAAATCCCCTTCTCTTTTCCTTAGAATATACTTTAATATGCACATGGCAATATTGCAAATTCATAGTACCAATTGCATAAAACATCTCATCTAAAAAACTGTGCTGTATTGAAACAGAAGGACAGCAGTGATGGGAATTAAGCTGGGAACCAAGAGATCTCCACAATTCAGCACAAATTGACATAAAACAATCATTGCTGAAATGTACATAGTATGGCAATAGTTAGAGCCTAACAATCGCTGCCTGTAGTTACTGCTTACCTGCTGATGAGCCAATAGCAAGGATGTAAATGATCCACACAATGAAACTGGCAACAAAACGAATAAGGAACACCATCAGTAGCGCAAAAACTGAAAATTATAACAATAAAAAATAGTTAAAACATCAAATATTAGTGTTCTCCTGAAACCGTTTTAGCCATCAATTTTACCAGTAAAAATAACTGACCAACTTGTAAAAATTGTGGGCTGGTGGTAGAATAAAAAGAAGCACTTATTAGGCCTAGGTAGCTTACAGTAGGCTGGCATTCTTTCAATAAATGAACATCGTAGGCCTATCTCCCACAATGAGCATGCACCGATTTTCCACTAGTTTATCTATAAACATCATTCTTTGATATGTTCTCGATCAAAATAGTAGCACTAATACTGTGAATATACATAACAATTGAAGAAATTGTAGGCTGAGTCTGTAAGATGGGGTAAGCATATCTTGCAGGAAATGGTCAGCTATGGTCAAACTCCCAACCACAAGGTTAAGAGCCTGAATGGAATGAAAAGTGCATTCAATGGTATTGAAATATACTAATGGTATTACAGTATAGTCAGCTGGAGTGGATTGACCCCTCTCGTAAGTTACTGTTTGTGTTACATATTTATGTTTTTTTTTAAGTATTGATAATTTGTTATTTGTCGGATGAAAACAAATGAAAAAAAAAAAAGAAATAAAATAAAAGTGGGTGAAATCCCCACAAAAGAGAGAAAAAAAAAAAGGAAACTGCTGCACTAAACCACCTTGGTTGCTGCGTATCAACAGTATTTAACGCCTCTATTAGGTATTGCATTCGTATAATCCTAATTTGTGACCCAAGCTCACAAACGGGCTGTAAACTCGCACTGCACTGTATTGAGAAACAAGCCTCAATACCCAGAATAGGGCATAGAATGGGAATTTTGTGTAATAAATAAAGTATAACTATTAATCTTACTATTCCTGAAGTTTGAGTTTAAAATTCCAGTTGTAAGAGGTAAAATTTAGCCATTTTCAGATGGGAGCTAATGAAAAGTGAATAGAAACCTTCCGAAAATAAAAGCATTTTTCTCAAAGCTTGATTTAAGAAAGTTGATAAGATGAAAATTATTCAAACGGTCATAATTTTGCTTCCAGACACCCGATTGAGTTTATTTAACTGTCATTTTAAAGTAAATGATATGTTCTATGCCATTATAACAAAATCTCATTTTGGCCTGAGGACGAGTTTAGAGCCTGTTTGTGAGCTTGGGTCACATTTGATCTAGGTGGGTTGAGTTAGATTGCACTTACCAAAGGCAAGTCCACACATTCCGAGAATGGCCCATCTTGCAATGTATAAATCAGCTATAATTTTTGTGATGAACTGATTTGAGTTGAGGATCTCTAGTGCACTTTCAATTGCACTTTTCCCAAACTCTTCCAGATTGTCTGGGATGCAGCGATTGAAGATTGCAGAACTGTACCATAACAAAAAATAACCCAAAACAACAACACATATTTAATGTATTACTTAAAACACTTTACCTTTCATTATTTGTTTCAGTGGTCTGAACTTTAGTACAAAGGAAAATTGATTTAATCAAAATTCCTATTAAGTTTTAACTACCATTTAAATAAAATACATTAACCTTTAAATAAAACATTAATCACATATTGCACAGCCAATTTATTCCCATACAGTGCTGTCGATTAAAGCCCACAGGCACCACCAATTCGATTACGCATGACACAACCGATTTAATCTTACATGGCACAACCAATTTAATCTTACATGGCACAACCAATTTAATCTTACATGGCACAACCGATTTAATCTTACATGGCACAACCAATTTAATCTTACATGGCACAACCAATTTAATCTTACATGGCACAACCAATTTAATCACATATGGCACTGTCCATTTAATTTCACATGGGACAACCAATTTAATCACATGACAACTGTCAATTGCCATGCTGTTACTATCCCATTTACCACCAAACCCTTTAAAGCTTGGTTCACGTCGAACTTTTATCTAGATATACATCCACTTAACTAGTTAAAAGTTCGACGTGAACCACTCAATTATAGCTAGTTAAAGGAATTAAGTCACTTAAGTTAAGTGACTTAACTTTACTAGAATAACGGTAAATTAACTTGCTTAAAGGTAAAGTCGGCTCGGATTACAAGGACACGATTACGTAACGTAGGCATCTAAGCCAGCTTTGTTGTATTGTACCACCATTATCATCTTATGGCTGGCAACAACGTACTTCACCAATCAACAGCATCGAAGTAGTCTCATTTAGTCTGGTTTTCAGAAATTATTTGTAATATTTTGGGAAAAAACCCAGCAAACGTCCGTTTTACGAATAGTCGATATTACCAATGACCTTTGCCCTTTGCATCATCGACCAAGTAATAACGTTAAAAAGTCCGATTGCGTACGTTTTTCAAAGTGATAATGTATATTTTTCTTAATAATAAAATCAGATTTGTTGTATTTATTTATTGACAATTCAATCTTTTCTATTTCTGCTATAATAGTCGCTATTAATTCAATTTCAACGAACTACCACCAACGCCAGTCGTTAAAATGAGCGCACATGTTTACGATGACGAAATAAATAAATGTGGAAGTCAGCAACTTATTTGACACCGCGAAGCTAGATTTTCGCGAAGTGCATGTAAACAACACAATTGAGCGATCTAAAAACTACAAAACAGGACAGAAAGGTCCATAAAGTATACATACCTTTTAATGAAAATTAAAACAATATTTTGTTAAATGGAAGAATGCTAGATAGCGATTAAAATAATTCATTTTTTATCGAAGGTAATGTAGCTAGGGCCTAGAGAATCTACCACTTAGATTGCGATAGAACACGCTGCTGCACTGGTCGTTGGTTCATACTGGTCGGCTAGGTTAGGTAGTGGAAACTCACACCTTCTCTACAGTAGTTTACAATTACCTGTCTCTTATACACATCTAGATGTGTATAAGAGACCATGGTACCACATGGCACTACCAATTTAATCACACACAACATTGTCAATTTAATCACATGGCACAACCAATTTAATCAAATATGGCACAGTCAATTTCACCTGTTATGGCAAAGCCAATTTAATCACACTATTTAATCCTAAATACCTTTTTTTCAGTGAGTTAGATACAGGGCAAGGCCCTTTTTTGTCTTGATCAGCCGAAGGGTAGTCATCAACTTCAACACTGTACAGACAAAGCTTACTGCCATTTTTTGCAAAGTCTTTAACTTGATTCATGTCCGCGAGGTCCATTGTTGGGCACTCTTTAACACAAATCTCAATACTATCATCTGGACTCAGAACATCCATGAAAAACACGTATCTGAAAAGGGTTAAAAAGAGCAGCAAGAATTTAAAATGTAAATTTTGCTTTAATTAATTCTTGTATTGTGTGCTTTGGAAACATGATGTGGAGGGCGCAGAATTGAACTAGGTACCAAAGGTTAACAATGAATCCCACGGTTCAGTGCACACACAGTAGCTACCACCAGTTTAGGTGAATGAACTATGATGCTCTAATGATAAACAATGGCATGAACTCCTTTGTCATTAACTCCTTTAAAATATAATTGAAGTTTAACATATTGTAATCTGAACATTTTACTCATAATTGCCATTTTGTATGGCCTTTTTCCATTACTTAAAACTGAAAATTGGGCACTTTACAATTTGTATTTTTTCCAAAGGCTTCCTATGAAGAAATTTTACAATAAATGTTGTTGCTAGAAGTTGTGGTGAGAATGCTGTTATGTTTTTTTGTTCTGGTTGTTATATACTTAATGATGACAGTTGTTTACTTACGGTCTGTCACTCATATCCATTCCAGAAAACTGAACCCCGGCAAATTTGTCATTTTTCATGCCACAGACATTTCCATAGCTATCATAACCATAGATAACACGTTCCACACTACCAGCTGCAATAGCAAATCCGGCAACAACCCCCTAAAATGATGAAAGCATTCTAAAACTGCTCATATTTAGTAAAAAAGTTTTCATTGAAGAAAGATGTGCAAAATGAAATGCTCAGTGCGGTACTTTGCCTCTTCTGTCCTTTGCAGGTCTTGAGATACCTCAAAAACTGCCTGTTTTCTGGTCCTTTTGGAGTGACATATCTTTCTCAACAAACCAATTAATAAAAAAGGTGCATAATATATACAGTAGTTTTCTCAATGTGCCAATATGAAAACATTTTAAAAGGCCAATGAATCAAAAGGAAATTTAAGTACGACATCGTGTGCTGTCAGGTTAAAGGTCAGTGTGCTCTTTTTCCACACTTTGAGGGCCAGCCGGTACTGTAAAATGCTTCCAATATATTTGTTATGTTTTTGTGTAATTAAAAATAATGATGTAAAATAATTAATTCTATTTGTAAAGAAACAATTTAATACTAATAGCAAATGATATTTATAATTTTAAAAATTGTTAGTATTCTTAGATAATAATTTGTGCATAAATAAATAAAATACTGTAAGTCATGTCTCTCTCCAGCCAAGAGTATATATAGGCATTGCAAGGTTTAAATCCTAATTCACTGAACTGCTGCAATATATGGTACTGTATGTTCCAGGCACTTATTCAATGACTTGGATAATCAATACTATCAACATATTTAATATTTATGAGGCCCTATTATGAGAGTATTGTAATCAAAAGTATTTTTCCCTATTGTACCAGTTCACTATCAGATTTAACTATTTAAAACATTGTTTATTTAAAAAACCCCATAATATGCCTAGAGAATAATACCTAAGTTGAGGAAGGTCCCAATTGAAACAACAGGATGGAATTCCACACAGCTGGGTAGGATCGACTTATGGCCATGCAAGAACAGTTTCAAACAGTTCACTACAATACTACAAATACCATGTTGTGTGTCAAACATACTGAAAACAAACACTGTTCAACACTAAGGAGGATTGCCAACAGTGTACCTAATTGCAATAAATCTTCTACTCCTCTCTTTCATGGACTGGAAGTTCTTGCTTCCCCTTTGGATAAATTTAATGTTTTCACCGATATTTTTGCATAAACTGCAATCTTGTTTATGAGGGAATTCTCTTCCTACATTTATATCTTGCACTGATAAAGTTGTTTCACTCTTACCACATCTCCAGTAAAAGAAGGTTGCTAAAATAATTAATCACTTGATGCTTTCAAAACTATGGGTCCTGACGATATTTGTTGTACTGTAGTACAGAAAATTTGTTCACCTTAACTTTTATCTATCCTTGTCAAGCCCTATAATTTGTGCTTGGCATATTAAGTTTTTCCAGTGACAATGACGACAACATGAATAAATTACAATTTCAACTAAATTAGACATTTATGGGAATTATGATGGCATTTAGCATGAATTTCCTAATTAGTGAAATATTAATAATGAGCAAGTAGCATATTCACACACATACCATAAACAACAGGCTCCATCACTTTATTACTATCTTTATTCTTTTATGGGAATTATGATATTATTTAACCTGAGTAGTGAAATATTAATTATGCAAAATGAGCAAGTAGCATATTCACACATACCAAAAAACAATGTCCCCATCACTTTTACCATAGGAGCCAGACCAGGTTTTGAATGCACTTTGAGGTGCAGTGAATTTAACTTTAGAAATTGGTTCAGAATGGTCCAAGAATCATTTTTGGCTTGGTAACATATTTTCAAAATGTGGAAAAAGGTCAAAAGGTCAGGGTCAAAGCTATAAGGGCCTTGTATCGCCGCAACCACAGGTGGTAGAGAGTTGAATTTGGTGCCAAATTGTTCAGAACATGCATATTTCTATTTGCTCTAATAGAACATTTTGCTAAAAAATGATTGGAAATGCCATTTCTGACCTTTGACATGCTACATGGTCATAGCCATATATTGTCCTTATATTTCGGCAACCACTGGCAGTAGAGAGTTAATTTTGGTGTCAATTTGTTCAGAACATTCATGTTTCTATTATGTCTAATAGAAGAGTTTGCTACAAAATGACTGGAAATGCCATTTCTGACCTTTGACATATTTTATAAAATAGCCATTCAGTTGTGATTATCTCTGCAACCATTGGTGGTAGAGAGTTAATTTTGGTGCCAATTTGTTTGGAACATTCATGTTTCTATTTGCTCTAATAAAACATTTTCCTAAAAAATGATCGGAAATGCTGTTTCTGAGCTTTGACATGTTTCAAGGTCATAGCCATATGGTCCTAATATCTCTGCAACCACTGGTGGTAAAGAGTTAATTGTGGTGTCAATTTGTTTGGAACATTCATGTTTCCATTTCTTCTAATAAAAGAGTTTGCTAAAAAATGACCGGAAATGCCATTTCTGACCTTTGACATATTTTATATATGATAGCCATTGAGTCGTTATTATCTCTGTTCTCTTGCCTTCTTTTTACTTCTTTTAATTCATTTGAATTGGTTCTTTTTTATTTTAGTTAAGTTTCTGTATATTATTTTTATGTTTGTTTTTGTTCTACTTTTTTGTTCATGTGATCCACTAGTGAGATCAGTGCTGCGTCACTGAAAGTGTTATCACGTTAAAGGCAGAATAAATAAATAAATAAATAAATCTCCGCAACCACTGGTGGTAGAAAGTATTATTAGCTCTCTACCACCAGCGCTTGCGAAGATATACAGTAAGGAGTAAAACTATGACATTGAAACATGTCAAAGGTTAGAAACTACATTTCCACTCATTTTTAGAAAAAAATGTACATTTTAGGAAATTCCCTATCTTATAACACTAGCTCAAAATCCTGTAGCACCATTTTTTTTTTGGGACCCAGTTCACGAGCCTCGTTTTCAAATACCGTGCTCTAAAATCGAGTGCTGTCACCGTCGTTGTGGTCGCCCATCCCTCTATTTTAAATTAAAAATTTATTGTTTCATCCCCGCACCCCCCCTTTACACTTTAGTTACGGTATCATGGTAGCTAGTGTAAATTTCTTGATTAGCGAACTATTAATGATCAAATACCATGTTCACACACATACCAAAAACAATAGGCTCCATTACTTTATTACCATCTTGCATTCTGCAAAGTTTAAAAACCAATCAGACTTACTAAACTTTAGTTGTGGTAAACTAGCATAAATTTCCTGATTCATGAAATATTAATTATGCAAAAGAGCAATTAGCATATTCACACACATGCAAAAACAATAGACTCCATTTTTGTTTATTACCATCTTGCATTCTGCCACGTTAAAACTGTACACACTTACCAAACTTCAGTCATTGTGGCAACAGACAAATTTTTACTACCAACAATAACAGTGACAACGACGATGACGACAACAAACAACATGAATAAGAAATCAGGTTAAAACAATAGCCTCACCTGGGAGAGGCTAATAAAAGATTTTCAATGATTAAATATGTGATTTTTAATTATTTTTTTTTGAGCTATTAAAAGGAATCAGCTCAGCTCGGCAAAACAACGCAACTTGAAATTTTCACTTTTGAAGAAAAATAGAGTTAAAGTTTGCATGTGTGCAACTTGGTAATAAATTGTTGTACCCTTTTAAAATTTTGCAGGATTGTATATCTATGTATATTGTGATTATATGTAAAATTTTAATTACAACCATTTGTTGATTGCAAAGTTATTAGCAATATTCACAGAGACATTGTTTTGCCCTCGGAAACAAGTCAGACTCGGTGTTGTTGAAAATTGGACATATTTTTGGAACTTATCACGTTTGGGGACAATCATATGCATTATTTAGCTTGTTTATACGTCCCTAAGATTATTAATATGGAAACACCAATACCCAGTTGATTTCGCATTGCCAATCTCCATCAGCTCAAAAAATTTTTGAACACCATTCCGAGGCAAAACAACGTATCTTCATCGTAGATACGTTGTTTTGCTCCGTAATCTTGTAGTTACGTTGTTTTACCACCAAAAATCACTAGATTTTAAGTTTTGTGCTTAAAGATAGGTGGTGCTATCTCCGAAACGACTCATTATTGAGACCTGAAAGTTTCACAGATAATTGAGACGTGTTTAATATACTGTACTCCTAAATGATATTATCTCAAAATCGACAAAAATGTTAGTTACGTTGTTTTGCCTCGGGACGGCCGAGCTTCACATTGGTAATGCATTGAAACAACATAAGGAAAGAAAGATGAAAACCTTTAGGGAATATTAACAATGCAAATTTCATGGAAATTCTATGGAAATGTTCTGTGATGCGTTAATTTGAAGCTTTTGATTGAACCATCCATCCTGTCTATTGTCAGAATTGCCACGACCAATGAAAAACTTAGCAAACTGTACCTCAAACTTTTTATGTAATTAATCTGCTTTTTAAGTTGACGTTACATGTTATTATCATACAATACAAAGGACTATCTGATAAATCTTTTAGATTTTTATGTTTGCAAGCTTACAGTAGTACTCTTATTTGTAGGATACAATCCTTTACAGCATACAACTTTTTAATTTTGGACATGCTCTTTTACTTCTATAGTAACTTCTTCACATTATTCATTTCCTTTTTGACTGACACTTTTATTTTTCTAAAATTTTCTTATTTAGTTTCCTGTGTTATTGCTTCATGCTGGTATGCAAACATTTCTTGTTTTGTATTCTTCCATCTTTTCTGCAAAATATTTTTTCAAAGCAGAAAGTACTTACCATTCCAATGATAAAGAGGACGAAGATGATGGCACAAAGGCAGTCGGTGCAGCCACGGCTTTCATTTTTGCTCAATGGTGGAGCTCCATCAGTGGACTACAGAACAAACACAAGATATAGACATTTTTCTATTTAATGGAAATTTTTCTATTTAATGGAATTAATTAGAAATTAATTCTATGATATATTAAAACAATAAAAAATATTTTTATTTATAAATGTATTATTTTTCTATTTGTTAACATATTTTGTTAACATTGGCATAATAATAATAATTATGATAATAATCTCTGTTTTGCTCTTTTGTGTAATTCTGTTTACCGTCTCTGTTCCGATATTTTTAACTTTTAAGGTAATTTTTAAATTTCTTATGTATGTGCAATTCAACTGTTTTTAGTTGTGAATAAAGTATATTGATATTGTATTGTTGTTGTATTGATAATATTATTAATAAATTGTTATCATCATGAATAGTAAAAATGGATGCAAATGCTGGCAGGCTGATTCTCATTTTGCATGGCCTTAAAGAAATGAAATTATAGGATGCTTAAGCTAGTATCATTTAGTTCATGTATTCTTTTAACTTCATCAATCTCAGACAAAGTTGTAGCAAAACTACCTTTCATTTCATTTTTTTAAATTTATTTTTAGTATGTTTGTACAATATTATTTTAGCTTGTTGTTGCTGGTACATGATAACTAATAATTGAATATTACATTTAATTAGGCTAAGTTCATTACAGAAACATTTACAAATTGCTTAAAAATGTGAAACAGAAGAAACAGCAGAAGTACCATACCAAGTAGCTTGGTATAGCTATAGAATGCCTGTCACTTATGAAATGCACAAATATAAGTCACAGATGAACAATTTGGATCGAAGGGATAGTGTCTGTCAAACGCAAGTACACAACAAATAAATTACAAACTTTTACATTCAACAATAAATAAACATTTATTTCTTCTAAAATAATATAGGCTGCTATTGTAGTTTTCACACTTTTTTCAACTTGATATTAGCATCAAATATTTCAGATTCAGATTCAGATTTATTTGGTCCTTGCAGAAACTCATTTAAGGCAACAATCGCAATACAATGAAATACAAAAATACAAAGAAATAAAAACTAAGAAAAGCATAAATATACAAAACATGAGTATAAAATAAAAATATACAGAGATAAGACTTGGTAATGAGTATAGAGAAATTATATCTAGCCGTTATTGTTATGTAATCTAATGGAGAATGGAATGAACAAATTCAAATACCAGTTAGTATGAGTATACATAAATTGTATCTAGCTGTTATTGTTATGTATGGAGAATGGAATGAACAAATTCAAATACCGGTTAGTTCTACATTGAGTGCTGCGTAGACACTTGCCAGATTTTTAAAACTCGCAATATATTATTTGTATATTTATAGTTTATTTGTATTAGTCACAAACAGATAAAATTATGTTACGTTGAAATAGCTACTGTAGGCCATACATAGAGTGCGACTTAGAAAGCACTCAGCCATTTTGAAAAAAATGGGTAGCATTGTGAAGGGGTGTCACATGGTGTTGCAGCAGACACCTAAGTAATTTACTCTAAAAATAAAATTTTATTATTACTTCTTATAATTTTGGATTTGGTGACCTCTTTATAGAAGAATAAATACATACAACTCAGGTCTATGTAATAGGTAATATAGACAATAATTGATATCCACTGTTCAGTAATTATATTGACTACCATCATTTTGTATGTATTTTAAGTAACACAAACATTAATATTTATTACATCAAATATAAACTCCTAGAAACTGTATGAAGGGCGGCATACTGTACTAGAAAGGAAATAAAACAATCCCTAAGGACAACATAACAATACAAGGCCAACCTACAGTACTAACTTATGCTTGAGTGGCAGAGTCCCTTCTCTCCAAAACACTTTCACCTCAGTTGACAGTGTTCATAACTATTCTACCAGATCCAGTTCTGCAGGAAATTTAATTTTGCCTATAGTCAGAACTGAATCTGGTAGAAGAAGTTTTAGGCCAAATAAAATTTATTATTAGTTTCACGAGGGGCATTTATTTGCTATTTGCTATTTTTTCGATGAAAGAAAATGGCAGTATGTATAAACACAGCATTCAATATTTGAAGCAAAAACAACCACTCTACATTGTATTGTAACACTTTTATTTTCATAAACATCTCAATTATTGTTTTTAAAGGATTTAAACCAAAAATATTTCATAAAATAAAGTTATTGATTAATACAATAATATTAATCAAGGTGTGATATTAAGAGTGAATTTTAAGGTGTTTTTTTAAGTATACCAGTACCAGGATGTACAAGAGAAGTACTATGAACTACTGCAATTGACATGGAAGGCATCGACAACATATCTATAAGTGTTACAATGAATATTCTATACAAAAGATAGATAATAATTAAAAAATAAAATATGTATACCTATACCTGACGAAGGGTGATACCCCAAAACATTTGTATGTTCAATAAAAATTATTTTGAGAACGCTAGACACTTCTCTTGAGTTTTTATTTATAATAGTATAATACTTATTAAAATACTTGTACAAAAGTTGCAGTGAATAAAAACTGATGGAGACAAGGGTGCCGAACTGCAGAAATTGGCATGACATTGATACACCATCATTCTTGATAGGGGGTGGTGGTGTTTCCTTTCCTTCGTCTACCTACCACACGCTTAAACCACCATATTGTTAATTTGATAATTATAGTTGTCGTACATTTGGAAGAATAAGAAGCTTATTCCTCCAATGCCTGCCATCCTCGCGTCACAAAAAAACAAAACAAGAGACCTGTCAAATCAACGAAAAAACCCCAAACCATATGTGTGCAGCGCGAGTGGCGAGACGACGATCAGAGTAGTCTTATCAATCCAGGCGCTGTTTGTAAATTCATAGAAATGCCGTTTGTAAATTAATAGAAATGCTGTCGCAACAGCTGTAATTCTACTGGTCTTATCATTCCAGCCGCTGTTTGTAATTTCATAGAAATGCTGTTTTTAAATTCATAGAAATGCCGTCGCGACTGCTGTATTCCCACCGAAAAACTTCGAGAAATTTAATTTTTTCAAGGAAAAAAAATCATTTTTTGTTATATATGGAAAAATAGCAAATAGTAAAAAAATCTATGCGGCTCCAAAAATCGGTGCGGGCGGGGATGTGAAACTAATGATTAATTTTATTGGGCCTTACTTTTAGGGGTTCTCAAATTTGGAATGCGGGGGGTAGGTAATTTTTTACTTCTTTCATGTTTGTTTTTGTTTTTTTTATGTTCTGTATTGTTTCTCTTGCGATTTTAATGTTTTATGTGTACTGGGCCCTCTGGGAGAACAGTAACTTTTTACTGAAGAGGTAACCCAGTATAAAGAATAAATAAATACATAAATAAATAATAAATAAACTTCTGGTAGTATACTGTCAAAAATAATATACTGATATATAATATAAAATATGTTGTTAAATCATTAATGATGTCCCAATTTAGATATTTTAAGCCATGCAAATATTTATGAATATTATGCTGCTGTCAGTATTAATTTTGATTTAAATTCACTTTTGGTAAAATGGGTTTCACAATTTTTGAGTTGGCAAGTAAATAGTCAGCAAAATGGGCTAAAAGGCAAAGTGGACTCGGCAATCTGGAATTCGGCAAACTGGGTTTCATTAATCTGGCCTACTGTAGATCCTATAGTAGATGATTGCATTAAAAATACCCTTCTAAAGATAAGAAAAGAAGTTTAATATATTATGGCTGACATGATAAACATATAGAAAACAAAATTCATTTTTCACTGCAATAATTTTACATATTTATTTTAAATTACCGTTATTGGCAGGTGATGAGTTTGTGAAACAAAATGTCTCCCCTTAATTTTGGCTCCTGCATCAACACTGGATTTGACCCTCAAATTCTTCCTTTCCCTACATTTTGAATTCTAACTACAATGAAAATACTTAATACTATAGTAAACCAGCTGATTGTTAGTTATTTGTGAGTTGTTTTATTTAGAGTAACCAAGACTTTTCTTAAATTGAGTTTGAATAAGTCAAGTTTCCTGTTTTCATTTTAGGCTGCAAAAAGTATTTTTTTAAAGCTTATCATTGTAACAATGCATTGAAACAAGTACTGTAAATCACAATGTCATCAACTGAATAACCACAATCACTCAAAATAGGAAATGGTGGCCTCAACATGGAATGGGAGTACCAATTGATAACTAATAAACATAGAATATGAACACCCCACCATTATGACCTTGCATTTTTAGAATCTTTGACATTCTAGATTTAGATTTAATTCTTACATTTTAATTCAATATTTATTCAATACTCAAAATAGTCCATCTTTCACGTTTTCAATAATGAAATCACTTGCAGAAGGTATACAGACCATTAATACAAGGGTGTCTTATATTTTATTGCATCTAGGTTTATAATAACAAAAAAAGTAAAAAAAAAACAATAGAATTTTTTATATTTTAACAAAAAAAGACAATTTGACAAACTGGCAAATTTTAGCCTTGAAATATTTAAATTATCTTAGGAATAGTTGGCAAAGCAGGTCAGTTTTAACTGTATCAATAATCTACAGTTTCATTGCTGATGTACAGCAATGTGCGTATAAAACAATTACAGTTAAACTTTAGTTAATTTTTAACTTAGTTTATAAACTAATCCAATGAAAAGATAACAAAAAGTTAGTAGGTAGTTAAGTAGTGAAAATATTATACCCTTCTACAAGTCATGGCAAAATGATGATACACTTTAATGATGAGTCATATGCATCAGGTCTGATGCATATAAACATGACCAGGCTTGAATACTGGTCACAATAAATGCAGGATATTTCACAATAAATGGGTGATATCATGCAATAATTCAGCTCTCTTTACACAACTGTCATAAGGGCACATACAGTAGAAAAAATTATTAGATTGTCACTTTTTTTTTTTTAAAATGATGAGGGAGGGCGTTTTTTTCCCTTTTTTTATTAATCGTAACAATAGATTATTTCGCCTTTGTTTTTATCGATGAGGGAGGGACTGTTTATGTTGGTCTGTAATGTATAAAAACTGGTTTAATTTTATAGTTTTTTTAAAGAAAATGTATTTGAAGTCACAAAATTGCATTGTTATTTTTATGCTGTTGAAATAACAGCATAAAATATTTCCCAAATTTTTGACGCGGGTGGGAGTGATAATCTAATAAATTTTTCTATTTGCCCTAAAGAAAACATTTTTAGCATGGCCTATGTTTAATGCAGAATAGAATCCTTACGTCCACATACAGTAGTATTCTCAAAACAAACTATATAATCCTAGTTTGAAAAAAAAACTTTATTACCTTTGCAACATTCACATTCATGAAGAACACAGAAGTTCTGAGGTCTACAGTACAATTAAGTACTGTAGCAGCTCTTAAACTACTGAACCATATCAATTTGTGTTTTAGGAAATGTAAACAACAAAATTAAAGTACATGATGCTCTCTTCCATCGATTAATAAATTTTTAAAAATCTGTCGAAGTGACTCTCCAGAAAGAAAAGAAAGAAAACATTTTTTAGCATGGCCTATGTTTACTGCAGAATAGAATACTTACGCCCACATAGTATTCTTAAAACAAACAGTAGCAACCAAAAAGCAATTATTTAAACATAAATACACAAATGATTTTTTTTTTAAATGCCGATCTGGCAGTAAAATGAAGAGAAAAACAAAACAGAATATATTTCTCACAAAATTTAAATTGTAATTACTGTAAATTATTTGTATACAACTAAGAAAAGTAAATTTATAATTTAATCAATAATTATGAATTATAATAAAAACTCAAGAAAAAAAATCCAAGATTGCGATACAAACAGCATTAACAATACAAATTAAAATGTGTCAACATTATCAAGATATTCGTTAGCAAGAAATTAGGCCTATTGTTAGCTAACCAGCTGAGTGTATTCCTTTGTGAAAATGAGTACCGCGGGCCGCCGTGTACTCATTTTCACAAAGCATTTGCATCCCCTCTTGAAAAGAGGGAACTTCGTAATAGTTGTCACCATATCTTCGCTCATTATTCACCTTAATTTAGCTTACATTTATGCATGGAGGGAGCACTTAAAATGCACAATAATCATTTTACTACCCGACAAACCCCGAACTTTATTTATGCATTACATAAATAGTTTCATCTTGCTGTACTCCAACATCACTGGTGCATGGTAACAACCAACTGGCAGACATTTCCAGTCACACATTACTCTCCATAATGCAATACCCCTTGTTCCGTGTCATCTGGATTCAGACATACAGTATATTTCTAATTTCTCAAATTTACTGTATAAGCAGAGCACATAAGTTTTTGAAGGTGATGTCTTCAAAAGGACATATTGCTACTGAGACATTAGCAGTTACAAAATACCAAGGGCCATCATTTCAAAAAAACCACATTAAACCAATGGCCCAGAAAAAATAAGACACATATAAAGATATAGGATTTGGATGACAAAGCAGACGTTCTCTGTTGTTACGTTAATTATGACGATAAACTTCAAAAATACTCAAAATTCCAATAAAAAAATACCGTTTTTTCTTAAACCGAACCCTTTTTTTCCAAATTAACTGATTCCAAGCAAAATTCTGAGAAGCATACTTAGAGGAGAAGCTACGAATAGCTCTCTTTTGATTTCTTTAATGAAGGTCTGATTTATATTACTTGAATGAAAGTGCAAATTACAACCAGAGCCTTGCAGGCGTCAACGTTCCTATGCATGATACACGACTTAAAAATACACGTATATATATATATATGTGTATATACGCACGCATGTGCATATATACACATATACGTGTACACATATACGCGTGTACATACACATGCGCGTGTATATATATATATGCATGTATATTATACGTATATATATATAAGATGTGTATAAGAGACAGTATATACACGTATAATATACATGCATATATATATACACGTGCGCGTATATACATATATATATATACATGTATACGTATATATACGTATATATATATATAGGTGTATATGTGTATGTATATGTACGTGTATATATATACACATGTATATATATATAGGGCCTATATACTTTTTAAGTCCTGTATCATGCATAGGAACGTTGACGCCTGCAAGGCTCTGGTTTTTATTTGACATTTTGTATACCCCAAGTCATATTTCTCATTGACAAGTTCAGGTTGTGCTCTTATCATGCAGTAGCAGGGCCTAATCCAAAAACTTTTTGAGGAGGTGTTTATTTTAACTTGAGATTTCAGTTTTATTACCTTTGCAACATTCACATTCATGAAGAACACAGAAGTTCTGAGGTCTACCGTACAATTAAGTACTGTAGCAGCTCTTAAACTACTAAACCATATCAATTTGTGTTTTAGGAAATGTAAACAACAAAAATAAAGTACATGATGCTCTCTTCCATCGATTAATACATTTTTAAAAACCTGTCGAAGTGGCTCTCCAGAAAGAAAAGAAAGAAAACATTTTTTAGCATGGCCTATGTTTAAGGCAGAATAGAATCCTTACGCCCACATAGTATTCTTAAAACAAACAGTAGCAACCAAAAACAATTATTTAAACATAAATACACAAATGATTTTAAAAAAAATGCCGATCTGGCAGTAAAATGAAGAGAAAAACAAAACAATATATTTCTCACAAAATTTAAATTGTAATTACTGTAAATTATTTGTATACAACTAAGAAAAGTAAATTTATAATTTAATCAATAATTATGAATTATAATAAAAAATCAAGAAAAAAATCCAAGATTGCAATAAAAACAGCATTAACAATACAAATTAAAATGTGTCAACATTATCAAGATATTCGTTAGCAAGTAATTTTAATTGATAAATTGAAAATAATAATGAGCATCTTACACTGTCCGGGAGAGAGTTAAAAAGCCTGCTAAAGTTAATGAAAGGCTATTTTAAAGCATTGGTTTGAGAAATTTTTAAAAATCAATTTTAGTGAAGTGGAGTGTCTTGAATTAACATTTCAAACTAATTGAAGTTACATGGATCTCAAGCGAAACACATTTTTTTTATACTATAATTCCGTACTGGTATGATTTCTCTCTTTTAAGTTAAACTATGGCCAAATTTTTGTAAAAATATTGATATATCAATATTTAAAATATATATTAAAATAATAATACTAAAATACACATTTTAAATAATAATACTAGATTCAGACATACAGTATATTTCTAATTTCTCTAATTTACTGTATAAGCAGAACACATAAGTTTTTGAAGGTGATGTCTTCAAAAGGACATATTGCTACTGAGACATTAGCAGTTACAAAATACCAAGGGCCATCATTTCAAAAAACCACATTAAAACAATGGCCCAGAAAAAATAAGACATATAAAGATATAGGATTTGGATGACAAAGCAGACATTCTCTGTTGTTATGTTAATTATGACGTTAAACTCCAAAAATACTCAAAATTCCAATAAAAAAAATACCGTTTTTTCTTAAACCGAACACTTTTCTTAAACCGAACCCAAATTACAAAAAGCATATATTTTATGCTCTGATAATTATTCAATTCAGTAAAAAAATCAGTCTGTGTAAGTACTTACTTAATTGAGGTGTTTCCCCTTTAGACTAGAGTTTATGAAATTGACAGACTCACTTTAAATTGATAAAACTATTGTACTGTAAACAATTTAAAAATAAAACTCACATCATAGCCATCAGGGTCAGCAAGACAATCACAACCCATGCTTTCTTCACAATGTTACCAGTCCTGCAATCAAAATAAAAATTAAATTAAAAACAACAAAAATGCCTTCATGTTCATCAATTTCAGGATGCCACTGTCTATGTTCACATTGACAATAGCCATAGAGTCAGGTTCAATGTCTGAAGATTGGCTGGCGCTAAGCTGCTTCAGACCTGCGCCATAAGATCCTTCTGGATTGTTGTACCGGAGATTTATCAGCAGTGGAAACCACCACTGGCAGGGCCACTGAGGCGTCACCAACAGGACACGACACGAATCCACCCACAAATCCCAGAAAGGGAGACGAGAAACTCACCCCCCGCACCGGTGGGCGTTGCCACCACAGGCGTAGCCGACTTACGAACAAAGGAATGCTCAGCCTGCCTAGCTGAAACGGTTACAAAATGAGATGGCGGCCACATTACGGCAGTGAGGGCACAAATCTCGATGGTTGTCAATCTTGGGGCTAGGTTTAGAGCCCCTGCAGTGAGAACACTCTGCTTTAGACATCTTTAGGAATCCAAGTAGATAAAATCTTCCAAAATTCAGAGATAAAAATCCAAGAATAATAATCCAAATCTTTGTTACAGTATAACACTCATAACGATCTTTCGAAAAAGAATGAGGATAAGCATGGTTGCGGGATCGTTTATGCTTGGCGCCAGGGCCGACTGTTCCATTTTGTTTTTGAGAGGTGTTCTCATGTGTGAGAAAGAATAGGCAATTAGTCGGTTCATCCAGGTAAGTATTCACGAAATGGAATCTAGGACTTAGTCATAAGTCCTTGCACTGATGGAGAAGCTAAACGTATTATGTTGGGGTCTTACAGTACAGTAGCTCCACATTCGAAGTTAAAAGAAAATGATTACATTTGTAGGCGAACAGTTCATGTTTTGTTGTTACATTTGTAGGCGAACAGTTCATGTTTTGTTGTTACATTTGTGGGCGTTGGTTGTTACATTTGTGGGCATTATTACATTTGTGGGCGTTGGTTGTTACATTTGTGGGCATTATTACATTTGTGGGCGTCGGTTGTTACATTTGTGGGCATTATTACATTTGTGGGCGGTGTGTTTTTACATTTGTGGTTTCAACAATCCCTCCAATTTCAGACCATTTTTTTGGGACCAGATTTTATGGTCTTTAGTAGCTTTGGCCTTTAATTGGTAAAATTATTATTAAAAAGATATAAGATAAACAATTTTTTAGTGCTACAGAAATGCGATCATTATTCTTGGTGTTCCTTTGAAGGTGTCCTTAATTAGAGCATGAAGGAATTAGTTTTAAACTAATTCCTCCATGATTAGAGGAAGAAGTGTACAGTGAAATGCCCTATGTTTGTGCTAGACTCAGATTTCTTTTAATTGTCATCATACTGATATGTCTCTACCTTGGACAGGATTATTAGTAATCACAAATAATAAGATATAAATGCATTACACTATAGTCACTATCAAGCCAGTAACCAGGTTCATGGGAATGGGTGCTTCTATAGGCCAAGTTTTTCTTTAGTAAACAAAGTTATGATGAAATACAGTAAACAGGTCAAAGATTCACGATTCAAGATTTCATTTATTGTCATCAAAATACATGAAATTTGCTTTCCAGATCAAGGAATACACAAAAATATACATACAGACAACTATACAAACTATAAAACTATACAGTGCAAACAAATATTTAAATTACAGTTAAATTAATAATATACAATATATAGAGTACAGTTACAAAAGATTAAAATTAGTTGTATGCCATAGGTAAATGAGTTGAAATATTATTGACAGTTATAAAATATGAGACTACCTGGTGAATACTTTGTTAAATAGGTGACTGACAGGCACCTGGCAAATACAAGATCATTAATGTATACTCTCAACATCTTTGCCAATGATTTTCCTTACTGCTTATAGTTATTTTCGTTATTTGAAAATTATTTTTCTATGTTACACTTGGTATTCCAGGCAATAGAACAAAAACATAATAGATTTGATGACACTCTAGATAGAAAAGAAAAAGTGTATCCTGACCAGGGCTTAAAATTAACTTTTTTTCTTGGTAGCACTGCCAAAATTTTCTGGCACCCCACAAAAAAATTTGGTAGCACAAATAATTTTTTTAGTAGCACATATTTCCCCATCCTTTTCGCATCCCCTAAGATAATAAGCGCTGCACAATATTTTATTCTTTATATTTCCTAACAAACCCCCCCACCAACTCACACCTACAATGTCACCATGGATTATTATGCAAGAAAGAAGACATGAAAGAAAAAGAGAAGAGATTTTTTAAAATTGAAAAAAAAAACAAGAAAAATAATAAATAACAAATAACAAAAGGAAGGAAAGAAAAAAAAATAAAGAAGTAAAATGGTGGAAAGAAAATGACAATGAAAAAACTAAAAGAAAGGTAAGTATCAAAAATGAAATAAGAAAAAGGATGAAACAAAAGAAAATAGATATTAAAGGATAGTAAAGAAAAAAGGTGCAAGGTAAAAAATTCAACCTAACTGGAAGGAGTATTTCATGGAAAGTTTCAATTGTTAGGAATTTCTAAGAAAATTACAAATTTCTGTTAATTATTAACAGATATACACAATATAAAAAAGAAAAACATGAGCAGTAATAATGTGCTAGCTATTACTGTCTAGTCAATGGACTGCCAAAATCTGGAGTTACTTAAGTGGATTGATATATTGATTATAAAATTATTAATTATTATTACTGAAACATTAATTATATTTTCTGTACACTTTCTTTAAATTCTTCAGTATTTTTCTTCATTTGTGCAGGAAATTTCAAGAAAATAGGTCCGCAGAATTGCATTAACACTTTAGGCTTTGTTTTAAGCCCGAAAAATTGGCATCACACAGTCGGCCGACGACACTTCTTATTTAGGTTATAATGTAGCCTAGAACATTAGGCCTGGGCAAGTACAACTTCAGCAAAGTATCTTATACCTACATATATAACAATATATACTGTAGTTTCATTTTCTTGTTCAATGGTTGTTTTTATTGAGAATTATTTTTTTTAAAATTAAAAAAAACTGGTACGCCTTCCAACTTCGAAACTTCAGTATTAATCGCCAGAGAACATCGTCACACTTCTAGTGTTTACAAAGGTTTCGCGGAGTAACATATCCCAAACATTGCAAGTTGCCCCGAATGATGTAATATCCCAGCATTCTGATTGGTTTACATCTTGCAATGGACTCAACATACCTTACTCGCCAGCCGGTGTAGTCAGGCGCACATGTGGTTTGGGATGTTACTCCGCAAAATATAGTTTCATAATTGGAAGGCCTGCTACTCAGTTAGTTCGATGTTCCTTGTAGAATAATATATTTTTTTATATATCTTATAGATTAAATTAACCAATTAATTCAATTGTTGCACTTTATTAATTCCATGTTCAAAATTTAATCTTTAAATATTCATTTATATACAATTCAATTTTTATATTATTTCAAAACACGATTAAACAATCATTTTGCTTACTTTCTGCTGATACTTTGTTAAGAACGAAATAAATTGTTTGATAGAGGACCATTACTAGTTGCCTATGATATAACTCTGCTTACCGTCTACAACATTCAGTGAGAAACGTTCCCAATTTCAGGCTCCTCATGGTAGACGTAGACACAGACACCAAGGTTGCCAGACACAAAGTCATTTGACTCTTTGTACGCCGCCGATACGAACAAAAGTAGGTCAGAAGCCGACTGGCTCGTTCAGTAAATAAATGGTAAAAAGGAGTTGCTTTCTATATTATTTCATTTAATTAGGTTTCAAAATTTGTTGTGAGACCTATTTGTTTGTTTGTTTTTTTGTAAATTTCAAGATGTTGCTCATTGAGATGCATGTTGTTAAACTATAGCTGCTCCGTGAAGTCTGGCTGAAGTTAGCATCAAAGAGTATTTTATACCCTTTGTTATCATCAGCCATGTGATTGAAGAAGCGTAATCTTATTTCATAATGTATGAGGTTTAGGTAATTCGTTTGGTTTTCAATAAAAAAGATGTCTGCCTTAATACCAGTAGTACTTTGAATATAATCATCCAGATGATGCCTAATTGTATTTATTTACGATCTATTTAGAGTTAGATTTTGATTATTGCTTGATCTGGGCCGTTTACATCGTATGAGCCAATACTGTATACGATCGTTTGAAATTTTCGGTACATAGTCTATTTTGTGAACAAATATGTTAAGGAAACGTTCACAATTACAAGGAGGTACAGGTAAGAGTAGCACTCAATAAAATAGTAAAAAATCGTGCAATCCGATGTTTCTATACCAGTCTCCTTCGCCTTGACTGTGATCGCATATTACCAAGCAAGAATAAGATGAGCGCACATCGACACGGTTTTAGTGTACGACGTCACACTTTAACAGTCTAGGTCATGCTGATTGGTTGATACAGTACATGTATAATGAATGATAACATGTTTTGCGTACCGCCTGACTGAAAATAATGGGCTGTACAAGTTGTAAGTAATTGGGATTTGGAGGGAAACCACCTTCCTGCCGCTTACAAAATCTACTCGCGCTATCAAATGACCTTGTCGCACTGAGCGCGACAAAGTTGAATTCCTTGTCGCACCTTAAATAATCAGGTCGCAAATGCGACCGAATAACCCTTAATTTCAAGCCCTGCTGACACACATTAAATGTGTTAAGCTACCTACAGTAAGGAAGAAAAGTTGTTAACTGGCTTTTGCGTACACAGATTGAGTATGTTTACTCCAATTTTAGAATATCATCAATGGTAATGCCAAGGTATTAATGTTCTGATATTCTTTCAACAACTGAGCCATAACACTAAGTGGTTCAACTACAATATTTTTCCGAAAATCAAAGAGGAGGGATCGCTGAGGGGCACGTTCCTAATGTACCTAAAGCCAGGCACTCCGTCGTATGATTGTCCAACTCCGCTCCCTGTGAGCGCTAGACGGTCGGACACCGTCTGCTAATCATCATTAAAAACGATAAAGTGCCTTGGCATTGCGTTCTCTATAAAATAGCA